GAATCTGACGCCGTTGAATTATCGATTCCTAGGTCAAGGCGAGACATTCTGATTTACAGAAGCGCCTCTATACCTTATCTGACTAATAAAAAGAAACTTCCTTTGTGGATAATGCAATCCTTAAATAAATGCAATTTTTAATAACCCCTTCACGTATGATTTCCTTTCCTCACTATGCATCTAAGCTGTAAACTGTTTTAGTAGGTACCTACTATACTAACACTTTGAACTCCAAATTTTTTTTCAAATTTTCTTTTCAATAACTCCCTATCACTTTAAGAATTTTATTTGAAACGCATTTCAAGAGAGATTTGAAACGAATTTGGTTGATAGGAACGAGTTTAAACAATTTTTTTTACTAATTATATTGAAAATAGCATTAAGGGTCGTATATGTGTACCGATTGTTGGTAAAAAGAAATATTGCAAAATATAATACATATTTAAAATGGCAATTTAAAAATTACTTTTCATACCTGTGAATAAAACTGACGTCGAGTTACACTCGACAAAGGAGTCCACAGGGTTAACCCTTTGTCGAATCAGACTCGACACAAGAATTTTTGCCTTCAGATATCATCGAATGGTAAATTATAAACGATAATAAACCATTTCCTTATGCATTAATATTACAGCGAAATTTAATATTTCATAGCTAATATTACGCTGAAATACTGAAATAAAACAGTAGCCAAATGAGTGAGAACTAATTGGATTATTTGGACCGCAAATGGTGAAGTAAGAGAAACACGTATTACAGACGAATGAAATTTGGCAATCTTCAATTTCGCAAATTACAACGAAAATTGGAAATAAAATTAACTTTTGTTACTCGCGTAACTGTTTTCATCAGATCTTTATCAATATCTGTGGCACGAGTCCGACTCGTTATTACACGGCAAGGGGTTAATATTGAAATACGCAGAAAGAGTGACTAGTTAAGAGAGCTCGTTTCAAGCTTAACACGTTCATTATCTGTTCAACAATCGTCCTTTATCCTTCGAATTATTTTCATTTGCATTCTTAACGCATTTCCAGTGCCACGAAGAAAATTACAGAAACCGTTTACATTTCCCTCTTACCACTTACGCTTGGTACAAATTTCATATAAATGTACGATATCACGTAGCTTCGTTTATAAGTTAACAGCGTGTAATACGTGGTTTTTAACCGTTCGAGTGCCACCGGTTATTACAGAAATCTGCAGAAATTGGTGTCGAAAAATTGCAAACATTTCCTTTTCCACAGTTTCACCGAATACGACTGCTCAGAAATAACACGAAGCTCGTAATTAATCCCCCCCCAAAGATTATAAGAAATAGAATAAAATTTACATTTCGCGGCATGTCACTCGAACGATCCAATAAAACAAGTCATATTTTATAAAAAATCTGCGATGAAATTGACGCGGCGTCCGTAGCGACGACAGGTAATACAAGAAATCTCCGTAAAAGCTAGCGTTAACATTTTCATTTTTTATCAATTTCACATAATACATACACATACACACTTAATATTCATTAAACACTGAAACTGTGCATTTTTAATAATTTATCATACATAGATAAGATCGTACACGTAGAGAACTGACGCGTCATTACATAGCGATCGTGTTGATGAATTTTTTTTCTCTCGTATCGACACTAATTTCTACATTACCATATGCGTAAGATAAAAAAAAGAATAGAATTTTCCTATATATATGGTCGATAATGAAAGCACGTGATCGGTATTACATATTATGAAGTTGGTCCGTGGCACGAATCGAGCAAGATCTAAGGCGCACCCGCAAGGCTGCAGAAACTAGTCCTGCAATAAACACATCGCGCGGTTTAATGAATTTAACGAAGGTCGCGAGGTATAAATCGCCGCTGGTGTAATAAAACGTAACGGGAAGATGATCTCGCTTTTAGCCGCAGCGTACAGTGGGCACCTTGGCATCGGGTGCACGGTGTACTCGTCGCGTGCACGGTGAACCGAGATCTCGGTCCGTGTTAATCAATGGAACTCGATCGAAATTTCCGGATCGTTACGTGCGAAGGTACGCGATATCTTTGCAACGGATCGGGGTGACTTGGAATATTCACTTTTTAGATTGACGATGGAGATTTTTGCATTGTCGTCGGAGACTTTGCATGATAAAGAGTTTTAGATTAGGAGGTGAGATTTTTGCGTTGTGGTCTCAAATTTTGGATAATAAATTTAATTTTCAAGATGGAAGTTGAGATTTTCAAGTTAAAAGTTCAGATTTTCGTCTTGTGATCTCAAATTTTGGATAATAAATTTAATTTTCAAGATGGAAGTTGAGATTTTCGCGTCGAGGTCTCAAATTTTGGATAATAAATTTAATTTTTAAATTAAAAGTTGAGATTTTCGCCTGATGATCTCGAGCTTTAGACAACGAACTAAATTTTCAGATCAAAATTTCAAATTTTCGCCCAAATTTGTAATGTTCCCTCAGAAATTTCACCTAAAAAAACTCCGCCAAAAGTGTGAAAAATCTACGAAACCATCGTGATTTTATTCTCCGCAGCAAAATCCTTCATCATCCACAACACAACTAATCATCTCTCGTCCAAAAGAAATTAACGACGTTAATTAATCATGTGAAACATGAAAAAGTAGGAGGAAAAATGAAAAGACCAAGTTCCATCGGAGATAACACGCTGGATCAATTATCCTGCGGTTAAATGACTCACAATGACCTGGCCAAGCGGTCAAGGTAACGTTTCGTAACTTCAGGTGGATTCACACCTGCATACCAATAGCATCAAGCGGCCACGACAATCACGAGTAGAAGGTAGAGGACCGTCATCTTTTTTTTTCTCGTTCCATGTGCCTGTAACCTACTTCCAACCCTATCCAACTGTGCATCGGAAACCTCTTTCACCGGTGATCCAGTTATTTTCAGAATTTCTCAAATTTTCCACCAACACACCGATCCTCCAAAATATCCCCTTTTTTCATCCTAAAGAGAAACTAGAATTCTTCAATAAAAAAAAACATTGTTCTTCTGTATCTTTTTAATTAACCTTAATTAACGAGCGGATTTGCAATATGAAACACGTGTGCACAGTTCGTGGATCGAATGAAGATCGGATTTATTCCGAGGAAAAAAAGGAGGAAAAGAGAATTGTCAACTAGTGTAATTTGTGAACGAGGATACAGAATCGAAGGAAGCAACGGAGCTGTTGTGAGAGAGAAGAGCTTCGGTTTATGTTGGACGACGCGTGAATTCTGACGACTATTCAAACGCAGGTGAATACTAATCCCGTGAAAATTAGACGAAACGAAGGCGGAACACGTCCTCGAGTTTGTACATCAATTGTGATACGAGATACGATCCGCGATCTTCGGTTAAGCAGGAACGAGTTTTTTTTTTTCTTCTCCCGTTTCTTTTCTTCCTTTTTTTTTTTTCCCTCGGCCACCTCTAATTGGAATGCTAATGGTGCCGAGAGTAACGAACTGCTTGATGGAACGTACTTTTTTTTAATGTGTCTTTAATGCTGTTTAGACAGATGTAATATTTTCCCCGGGGAGTTACACGTGACGCATAATGTTTCATTTTGTGTAATGCGTTCTTGGAAATTCCTTCTTCCGCCATGAATTTTATTATTTCACGCTGAAACATCCTTTCGTCGTTTTTATGTCGGAGAATTGGAGTTCTTTTTACGATCCTTCGAGAGGTGAACGTTTTGGAAGTTTGAGTGATTGGAAAATTGAGGAATTTTGGGAATTTGGATGCTGGAAAGTTGGACGAAATTTGGGAACTCTCATGCTGGAAAATTTGAGGAAATTTGGGAACTCGGATGCTGGAAAATTTGGCGAATTTAGGAAACTTGGATGCTGGAAAATTTGACGAATTTTGGGAACTCGGATGCTGGAAATTTTGGCGAATTTAGGAAACTTGGATGCTGGAAAATTTGAGGAATTTTGGGAACTCGGATGCTGGAAATTTTGGCAAATTTAGGAAACTTGGATGCTGGAAAATTTGACGAATTTTGGGAACTCGGATGCTGGAAAATTTGACGAATTTTGGGAACTCGGATGCTGGAAAATTTGGCGAATTTAGGAAACTTGGATGCTGGAAAATTTGAGGAAATTTGAGAACTCGGATGCTGGAAATTTTGGCAAATTTAGGAAACTTGGATGCTGGAAAATTTGACGAATTTTGGGAACTCGGATGCTGGAGATTTTGGCGAATTTAGGAAACTTGGATGCTGGAAAATTTGACGAATTTTGGGAACTCGGATGCTGGAAAATTTCACAAAATTTGGGAACGTAGACACTGGAAAATTTTACGAAATTTGGGAACGTAGACACTGGAAAATTTGGTGAATTTTTAAAATTTGGATGCTGAAAAATTTCTAAACGCGAATTCTCCAATGCTACCTTCAGCAATTTTTTTAATTATAATAGAGTTTATTCGCGATCGTTAGAGGGGTGAATACTCCTTAAATTTAAACGCTCGAACACCAGAAAATTTTACAAATTCAACAAATTTCCGTACTGGAATTATCAAATTTTCCGCAGCTACATCAAACAACTTTCATTCCCCTTTCGAGCGTTCAAACACTTCTCTAGTTTCTCAGGTGTGTTACCTTTCAATTTCTTCTCGAGGTTAATTCGGTGGAATTGCCGGTGATTTCCTCTCGAGAACCTCGGTAAACGACGAAAGAAAGAGGGTCGAAGCAGAGAAAAAGAGAGAAAGGGAGAAAAGAAAGTAGACAGGGTGTGTTTGACCAAGACTCACCGGTATAAGTGCTCTTGAAACTTTCGTGAAGCTTGAAGGTGAAGGGAATGTGGACCTTCATCATCTCCATCTGAGGTATGCGCGGCGAATGTGTCATTACGCTTCCACTCCCTCCAAACATCAGTTCGTCGCCGTGAATACGAAGCACGATCATATTCCTGCACAAAAGAATCGTAATTCTTGTTCAATCGAACCGTTTACCACACTCTATCTTCTCACACCGTATTTAGACATTTCAAATAAAACAATATTAACCTTTTAGATACGGTACGCCACTATAGTGGCGTTCCGCCGAGACCCTCTATTTTTACGGAACGCCACTATAGTGGCTTTCGTGGATAGCACCAATTTGGACGGTACGACACTATAGTGACTTTCGTGGATATCATGATTTTGGTATTATACGTTTTTTGCTTTATTTCGCCTAAACCACATTTCCTGGCAATATCGAAGCTGTCGTTGAAGAGTACACGTGTCAGAGAATCGTCATGAACGGTTTTTGTGCCATCCGCGGCCAGGCGCGCCGTACCTAAAAGGTTAAACATTTCGTTCGACCAATTTTTCACCGATACTAAATCTCTCCAGTTTTTAACCCTTCGTACTCCAAGCATTTTTTCATAAGATTAATTATAAATTTCAGAACACTTTTGCAGGGAAACTTTTGAAAATTCAAAGCTTTCTTTTGAAAAATCCAACATTTTCAATGTATATATAGGAGAACCTAGGAAAAAATATCGAGGGACCCCAACGGGAATCGAACCCGGGACCTTCGGCTTAGCAAGCCGAGGCTTAGCGCGCTACGCCAACCACCCCCTCTCTATTCTCCCTTCGAGGTTTCCTATTTGGGCATGAAGGCTCCGATACTACACGCATGAATTCATTTATTTCTATTTCTTAGGCTAATTTCTACTATTTTAATAATATTAAAAAACCTGACTTACAGATTCTAGAGTCCTCCGAAATAATTGCATTTTTAAATGTTGCAGTAATTACGCGTTTTGCCATAACAGCGCAATTGGAGTGCAAAGGGTTAACTCGTTAATTTTAGAAGACGAGCTACCTCGTCATTGGTTCGTCAATACTTAGAACACGATAATTAATTTCTAATTTCCCGTATTAACACATTTAATATAGCAAAAATGATCAATTTTATTTTATTTTCCCAACGATTTCCCAAGTACGTAGAAATAAATTTGCCATTGTTAACAACACTGTAACCTACATCTCTGCCATAATCGAAAGGATAACGCAATATGGAAAGTGAAAGAAGATAATTTTTCAAAAAATTGCATTATATTGCAAAATCTATCAATGAAGTAATACGAAGTGAATGTAAAATGAAGCAATTGGTTCGAATTTTTACTCAATCCTAATTATACACTAGACACCCTGAATTTCTGTTTGAGAAACGAAACCAGTTAAAAGTTAACGCTGTTTCAAAAATCTTTCTTTCCAACTCCCAACTGGTCCGACTTTTATCACCCCAACTGGAAGCATAAAAGTAATCTGAGCACGGTTGTTAGTCATTAGATCATCGTTAAAAGTTTAACAGTAAACATGACAGTGTATAAGATACACTTGTGGCATCCTTTATGAATAGTAAAGAGGAAGTAACGCTACTATCGCTTGTGTACCATTTTTAGAGGCAACATTGTGGAATATTAAAACTTCGCTATTTCAGTTTTTATTCATGCAAATGTGAATAAAATGTTGCATTGTAAATAATTGACAATCAACGACAAATTAACTCTTCCAAGTTAACAATTTAATTCTCATAAATTTTGCATATTTTAATTAGCAAAAATCGCGCAAAAATTCCAAATTTACCAAGTGACCCAATTTCGTAACTCGTGAATATTAAAATTTCTCGCAGACGTGAATGAAAACTGAATTATCCCTAAACAAACGAACCACTGTATTCTAAATAATTGTCAATCAACGACAAATTAACTCTTCCAAGTTAACAATTTAATTCTCATAAATTTTGCATATTTTAATTAGCAAAAATCGCGCAAAAATTCCAAATTTACCAAGTGACCCAATTTCGTAACTCGTGAATATTAAAATTTCTCGCAAACGTGAATGAAAACGGAATTATCCCTAACCAAACGAACCATTGTATTTTAACTATTCTCGAACCAATAACGAATCAACTCTCGCACAAATTTGCATACTTCAATATGCAAAAAAAAAATTGCACAAAAATAGCAAAATTTATCAATTACGTAACGAAACGAGAATGATTTGTCGGTGAATTGATAAACGATAGATTAATTTAGTATAGAAATGATCGAACAACGATTATTATTCCAGATGACACTCTCCAGCCACGTATAATTCATTCATACAGATTTAACCGATTCCGATGCTCCATCAATTCTGAACACACGAGATCTCATCCATTTGCAAACCGACGACAATGTTCGACGTGCAGGCATGCAACATTCCGAACCTGGACGATTAGGTTAACCCGTGATAGCTAACCGTATACAATTTTTTATCAGCACGTATACACACGAGGTAACGGATCTGGGAAACACGGATAAACGTATTCCCGTCCTCTCAAATGGTTACACACAGGGAACAAGTATCGAGTGCAATAAAACTGTCGTTAGAAAAATCCTGCCTCCACGTGGGTTCTTGCACTGTACGTACCGGGTGACTCGAGAAAATTTCAACACTTTTTCCGTTGTGTTCTTTGCCGGGGGAGAGGAGATCGCGGGAATGGGTTGAGAATGACGGTGGACGAGGAGAAACTGCTTAGGACGAAATACATTTGTTAAAATAATATGAAAATGGTACAAAAATAATAGAAAAGTTTAACAATTTGTTACGGTGGAATATGACAATACGAGTGCGATAATTTATGGAAGCATGATACTTTGAAATGCAAATAGCATGAAATAATAAAAATGTTTAAGAATTTGTTATTGTAGAATGCAAGGACGTGAGATGGCAGGCATGATACCATAATAAATTATCTACATGTTTCAAAAATAATAAAAAAGTTTAATAATCTGATATGGTAGAACGGAAGAACGTGAAAACGAAGCCATGACACCATAATAAATCATCTACATGATACAAAAATAATACAGTAAAATAATAAAAAGGTTTAATAATTCAGTCTGACAGAATGGAAGAACGTGAAAAGGAAGGCATAACACCTCAATAAATTATCTACATAATATTAATGATGCAAAGTTGATACAAACATGATACAAAAATAATACAGTAGAATGATACAAAGGTTTAATAATGTATTATGGTCAAATGGAAAGACGTGAAAAGGAAAGCACGGTACCTTCATAAATTAACCACAATTGGTCCGAAGTTAAAAAATGAAAGCTAATAAAAATCAAAGATTTTTGCAATTTAAGTTGACAAACTTTTGTCGCAGACTCTACACAATACTATCGTTGTATTTTTTTCAAGGGGTAGGACACAGCAATATTTGGAGAAAATCGAAATTTTCTGTTTTTTCTTAAATAGTAGTTTCACAAACACAGTTTTAAACAAATTATTTCTCTAAGTACCGTTTCGTGACGCACCAAACTTTAAACGCGTTTTCCTCAGAACTACGTTTTCCACAACTGTGTACAAGATATCTCGAGTTCTACCTTAGCAATTACGTTAAAATTTTACAGCTATCTTTACTATAACATCTACTAGGCATTGACGATCGATTTCTCGACATTTTCCCGTTATTTTGTGAAATATAAATAAAAAGGTAAGAATTTTTTTTGCGAAATTCAATTGTCAAATTTAAAATATCTGCCGTTTTGTTAATTTTCGCAAAAATTGAAATGTGGGATCGTCAATGTCTAGAGAATATACTACCACAGTTCGTGGCATTTTCGGGATTTTGGGTATAGTTAATTCGATTTGTGGGAATCTTGTACACCAGTTGGCCATCCGGAAGAAAATATATTCCGAGCGAGGACGACGAAAGGCGTAAGAAATTATTTTCTAAATATTACAAGCATTTTTTTACAGCTCACAGTATAGTAAATTGACATAAA